GCAAAATTCGTTGCCCTTTGCCGGCTGTATACTTGCTTCTATGACATATAACGTCTGAAATAAAGCAGAAATCATTTTGTAGAAAAGTATAACAGAGAAACTTCCAAAACCATAAAACCAATAATTGTAGCTGTAGTTATTGTCTTGTAGAATTTAGCCAAGTATTTGAAACCCTGATCTTTTTATAAATTTTAATTTTAAATGCTTTATAAACAAAATTAAAAGGCATATTATTGGTAATATTTGGAATATTTCATACTAAAAAATTAAACATCTACTACTAGCCCTTTGCATAGATATGCCTCATGACCTAGACAAACAGAAAAATACTACTACCTACAAAAAATGATGGAAAGGCGTATAAATAGTTTATTAATTTATATTTTTATAAATCCCTATTGAAATATAATTTTGATGTTTCACCAGTTATCAGTTGTTAAAAAGAAAATAGTGAGCTTACTTGGTAATTGGTTAGGTTAAATAAGTAATTGTAGGTACGTAATTGACTGTCCAAAATACTGTTACTTTCATCTGCTAATACCATATTGTACTGTATTGAAAAATAATTTTTTAAGGGCAGCGACTCTACATTAGGGGTTATCAACAGTTCCCACATGTATGTGATGCTTACACCATTGCAAATTTTCTGAAAACAAACAAATTCAAAGAAAATGAACAATTCAAATGTATTTAAGAAGAACATACTTGACTAGAAGATTCACTAGAATTAAGGCTGCTAACGCCAACATTGTTAACACTCAACGAAGGATTTCTAATTTCTATTTCATGATCGCATTGTCCTGTAACTGCCAAGTGCACAAATTTTCGATGATTCACGGTGTGAAGTCTCCATGACACGCTAAACGGTGGCACAAAACTGAGAGATACGACAAGAGGTTTGTTTGACCACGGAGTGATGATAGTAACTTGATGTTCCTTACAATTTAGTTCTGAGAGCACGCGTAGGCACACATTTGTGACAGAGAAAGGAGAAGGATCCATCACAGCTATTTCTAAACTATTGACTAAAGAATCATCCGAAGTGTGTTGCATTGTCAGGCCTCTTGTAGCAGATAGTCTAACGACAGAGCCCTAAGAAAATAAAAACATTTTTTACAAATGCAAAAATTTAAAAAGTATCTTTAATTCATACTTTTTAACAATTACATACCGGATTAACTTCGTAACTGCCGATTGTAATAGTTAAATGAAGGAACTGTTCAAAGCCCGAGAGTAAGGAAGAAGCGCCCTTATCCAGTCTTACTGAGGGTTCTTCTTTTCTCACCTCAATTACATACTTTGGCACTAAAGGATTTGAAATTAGTTCTAATTTATTGACAGAAATTGAAATTTGTCCTAAATAATATCTTCCAATGGATTTCGCATCTTTGGTCAGTCTTATTATGTTTAAACCTGGGCTTAAAACTAATGGCTACAATTTGAAAACAACACCGAAAAGAAGTGAGAACAAAACGATTATCTGTTGCACTTACCAATTTATTTAACGTTATTGCATTTGCAAAATTACCCTTTACTAATGCTTGGTTACTATCTTTACGTTTTAAAGGCATGCTTCTGCATACAACACTGGCGCTTGCTAATTGTTTATTTTCCCTAAAATTAAATTCAATTTTAAAAATAATTAAGTTAGCACCCACGTATACTCACCTATAGTCCATATGTCTCTGGATCTTTAATGGCTCGATCATCAAGATCCTCTCTTTTAAATCGTTAGCCATTAGAATTCTATTGTTGTTGTTATTATTAACTTTCCTTTTATCCTTACAGTCTGTTTCTAACGATATACCAAAATAAGTGCAAACGACTTCACGTGGGAATCCAGTTTCTATTTCCAGCTCAACCTCCATTAAAGTATCCTGCATAACCAAACCATTATCCTTTACTATTATTCTGAGCACCTTCATAATATTTTCGAATGGCATCACCACCGGCTTCTCAATCGAGTCCATGCATTTGAGCATCTCGTCGAAGTACGTCCAACGCACGAGATTGTCGATTTCTGCGGCTGCACTAACTGAAGCACATGCGCGAAGAAACTTTCGTACATCACCGGCTTTCTTGTAGCAGTCGGCAAGTTCTAGTTGAGTATGCGCAGTCAATTCAAGCCACCCATCTTGTTGAAATGTTTTTAAGGCGTCGTTAAGAAAGGCCGCCGCTTTTTGAGTCTCGCCAAGCAAAAGGTAAAACGAAGCGACTTCTCGCCCTACTAAACGAGCAGAACGAAGACGACCAATGTGCTTATATGTACCAACAGCCAATTCAGCCAAACCCTGAGATTTAAACAGTTAAGAGAAAATTGAAGTAGTATGACATGAACACTATTTTATTCTATTATTAACAGTTTAGAAATTGTAATAAGTATGAAATCATTTGAAAAACAATCAAATCATTTGATCTTAAAAAACAATTTACTGAAAACCAAAAGTTTAGATCAAATAAAAAATTCTTAAAAATTGATGAAAATATTTTAGACGGAAGGATAACCATTTACCAAGTAATTTTCTCGAAAGGCATCTTGAGAAGACAGAGCTTCTTTAAGTTTGTCAGTTGGTGATGGTTTTTCATTAGTACCAGGACTATCCCCTATTCCTGCTGAAAGTCCCACGACCATATGCAATTGTTCAGAAGTTGGCGATTTTCCAGGCATTAAACCACATAATTCACCCAATTCTCGAATCTAATAAAGAGAAAAAAAAACGAAAAATATAACAAGATTAAACCAGTAACAGGATTCAAAAGTTACCTTTTGACTAGCATAGTACCATAAATCAGCAGTATGAGCAGAGTAAGATTCAACATGTTCAGCTTGGTTGTACTGCTCACAAGTTTGTAACACTTCCATGCAAGCCAAATATAACCAACAGGCCAGTGCTCCGGGTATTGCATTAATTTCTAATAGCACCATTTCTCTCACACAAGTATGCAAAAATGGTAAACACCTTGATACCATCTAAAATAAAAAAAGTTATCTTAGAAAAAACAGGAAATTATAAGGTGGTCTAGTGAGAAAAAGTAAAATAGAGCTATAAAGAGTGACAAAAGATGTGTTACACTATCAAAGGACAGTAGAGTTTTAATTACCTCCCAAACTCTGTCGGTTTGCACTAACATTTGTGCTTGTCTTGCATACATGTAAGCTCTCAATTCAAGTAGGGATGGATCTTTATGTAATTTATTACTTGACCCAAGTTTGAGACTATGCCATCGTTCTAAAGGTCTTTGAAATTTTGATAACCAACTAATACTGGTACCTAAAGTTGCATTTAAAACAAATTGAGAAAACAACGCATCTAACTCATCATACTGCACAAGTGCATCATTGTAAAGACCCAACATTTCCAACACTTGGGCTAACTCTTCCTAAAAGTAAATTTTACCAAAACAATGTGCAGAAAGCCACAATAATAAAATACTGATTTACTTAAAGAGAAAAAGCTATATATAAAAATTACTTGTAAAGCAAAATATTCCATAAAATCCCATCCTGGTTCATTACGCCTTTCTCTTTGATGTCTAACATAATCTTCAAGTTTAGTAATTGCCTTGGCATAAGCCATCAACAAAAGTTGGCGAATTCTAGTCAATAAACCTCGCCAAGAGTCGGCAGATCTAGACTCAGGTCTACCAGGATTTATCACAGATATACAACGGTCTCCTAAAATCATTTTATCTTTTTTGATGTAAATACAATAAATGTAAGTCTAATTTCACCTTGTTTGGATGCAAAATCTGTTCGAACTTTATCCCAAACAGTTGTTCTTGGAAGAAGTTTGTTAGCACGTTTTCCATCATAATTTTCAACTACGACGATTAACCAATCTGAAATATCTCTTGAAGTAATTTCTTTCAGCCAAGATTCAATGTCATCTTTTATGGTGGTTTTGTATGCATCTATATCCTAAAACATGCACATGAAAGTGGATAGAAAAAAAAAGGGGGATATTAATTATAAACAAGAGCTAATTAATAAATATAAGGCAAGTGTAAGTATTAGCCAGGCCAGCATATATGTTTTGTATCTCCTATTGGATTCACAAGTATCTGAATGATAAACTACATTTATTTATTGTAATTTTGTATTTGGTACAATAAATAAATAAATATACAAAAGAAAAAGAAACCATATTAAAAATAGCTATTTTTTTGTTTATATTGTAAAGCAGGAATTTTAATTTATACTGTTTCATATGTAAAATACATCTCATATGCACAGTACTTTTCTATAAGGGATTAGAAACAGCAAGTAAGTTATTCAAATGTAAGTATTGCCATTAACTTTTCAAAAACATCATTTAATAAATAAACTGATTAAATATCACTTACTGAGCATTCTGTCCAGTAAATATGAAATATAGGTTGTCGAAATAGATCCCATTGGTAAGACTTTGGTAAGGCAGCAGGAGAAAAAGGAGCAAAGTTAGCAGCTACTTTGACAAACTGAACTGGTCTTCCCAGAGACCTCCGCCACTCGCAGGTGTCTTGTGGTAAGGACTGAGCTAAAGCATCTTCTATTGATGAAAAAACTTCCAATTCACCTGCACCTGAAAATAGTTTTGTGTTAACAGCTTATTTCAAACATAAATAAATATGTGCCTACATGTTACAATAGGTCTTCTATCAATCACTACACTCTCTTCAGAGGAATCTAAACCATTCATGTTAATAAATGTATTAATTTTGTTAACCTGGAGATAACTGACACATATTCAAATCACTCAAAAAATTTACAAAAGCAATTTCTGTTAAGGAGAAACTAACTGAAATCACATACTTTATAAATCCAAAAGCATGTTAATTTTTGGTCAACATGGAATTAAACATTTCGGGTCACTTATTAACTAATTAACACAAATTTTGACGTTTCTTGAAAGAGTAATTAAAAGTGATTAATAGATGTGACATTTCGAAATTCTAGATAGAATCCACAGATACCATCGGTAGATTCGTTCCATAAATTTCGTTCAGTTAATTTAAAACAGTATTTTCTGTTTTACTTAAATATTTAGCAATTCTAAATCGAATAATGTGAAAACTATACAGTCAATATTCTCAAATTCAAATTAATTAAAAGTATATTAGTACATTTATTGATTCACAAAAAATGTTTTTTCTTATCAATGGAATGTGCAACCCATAGATAGCGTAACCCTACTTTTTAATTACTGAAATGTACTTACAATTAGTATTTTTACTTTACATTGCTAAAGAAGTGCTTTCAACAGAAATAAATGGGGCTGACTTTTAATATAGAATCGATAACTATTTTATTTATTTTAAATTATGTGCTCGCTGCTCAGGACACAACACTAAAGAGAGAAGAATCTGTTAAATATGATGACTGCAACAAATTACGAATGGGTCAATTTATATGTCCTGACCCCAGTTACAATTACATCGATCCCAAAACTCAACAAATCATGGGCTGCAGAAAAGACAATAAAGCGAAAGGTAATGTTTTTAACAAAAACACTTGTGTTTAACTATCAATATTTGTTTTTAGTGCGATGTATAGCTGTAGAAGGATTGGTCTGTCTTGAGACAAAGAATAACACTTTTTATAAAGATGTACCGTGTCAGTGGACGTAATATTATCTATTTCCTTTAAATTGCATTGAATTGAAATACTGTATTTGTAGAAATGGATATTCCTTTGAGACTGCTCTTTTATTGTCTGTATTTTTGGGAATGTTTGGAGCTGATCGTTTTTATTTAGGCTATCCAGCTATTGGTGTTGCTAAATTTTGTACTTTAGGATTTATGTTCTTGGGTCAACTTGTGGATATCATTTTAATTGCAACCCAAACCCTTGGTCCTGCTGATGGTTCATCTTATATCATTCCATATTATGGTCCAAAAGTTAATATATTACAAAGTAACAATTGGACTTATCGATTAGAACAAGATGATTGGTAAACTAAGGATAAGTTTAAATAATTTATGTACCTATGTAAGAATTAAAATGGTTTAATATTAATTAAAATAAGACTTAGTAGAATACTCTTTTTTTTCCCTAAAATATTGTTACTAATAAACATGTGTCAATGAAATATTTTCCTTTTCTTTTAATAGTAGATGTTAAGAAATATATTTGATACAAATTATTGTTTAATTTATTACTATTTGAAATTTTATAAAATTAGAAACATCTGTAGTTCAAGTCAATACTCTCCATTAGTTAACTTTACTAAAACGAAAATAGGAGTAGGTTATCTATGGAGTAGGTCATATGAATATATGAAAAGAGAACCATAACCATGTTATTTTGACTTAACAAAATAAGGTTATGATTCGGATTTTACAAAATTGTCTCTTAAAACACAATCCATGTACGTAATTTAATTTAAATTTAAATAAGAAAACCGTTTTACGTTTACAATGTCAAGTAAATGAAATTGTTTTTCTTTTTCGTCTTTCAGTAGAATCATTGAAGTCAATGAGTACAACATTGGAGATCAAAAAGCCGCGTTATAATGGCAAAACAAAAAAGAGAAGATGGGAAGAAAGAAGATCTGACAAAGGAGAAGGTCTTTATTCTGAAAAAAAGACAAAAACCGATGAGCCCTTTGTGAGAATCAAAAGAAGGAAGTATGCTATGTTGCTAGGATATTCTGGAGCTGACTATTTTGGAATGCAAAGGTATCTTCAGTACAGTGGTAATAAAAAAGAAAGTCATTATTTTACGTTTCATTTTAGAAATCCATTTTCTAAAACAATAGAGGAGGATCTATGTAAAGCACTACTTAAAGCTGAATTGATAACAGATGAAGCGTATAATCAAATGCAAACTATTCAATTTCAGAGGGCTGCTAGAACAGACAAGGGTGTTTCAGCTGCAAGACAAGTAGTATCTCTAAAACTGCGTTAGTTATTTATCTGAAGAATTACAATGATACAACTAAATTAATTTGTTTAACTTGTAGCTGAAACAGTAGATTTGGATAAGGTTAATAGTTTTTTGCCAGAAACTATACGTGTATTTGCAGCTAAAAGGGTTACAAAGGGTTTCAATAGTAAAGCACAGTGCAGTGCCAGAACATATATGTATATGCTGCCTAGTGTTGCATTAAGCAATTCTACAATTCCATTAAATCAAGAAGGGTACCACCTAAGTGATGAAAGACATAGTGCAGTTAATGCATTACTTAAACAATTTGAAGGAACTCATAATTATCACAGCTACACAAATAAAAAGAAAGCAAATGATCCTAGTGCAAAGAGATATATCATGTCATTTTATTGTGAAAAGCCCTTCACTAGAGAGGGAATGGAATTTGTAGTACTGAAAGTAAAAGGTAAAGAACATTTTCATAAGATACTTTGAAGAAAATTAAAAAACTCAGTATAAATCATCATCATATGGTCATTAGTCTAAAAACTGGTTGAAGCATCTCTTGTTTGTCTTTACTGTTTCTGTTGCCCTTTGCTTTAGTCTTTCCAATTTCTCATTTTTGATATTTTTTATTTAATTTTCATAATCCAAGTTTATAATGAAGGTACAATTTGATTAAAACCCTTTAAAACTAAAGCATTTCTACACTTCACAGTTTTGATTAATCTGTTTTATTTAATTTGTTTCATTATGTAAATGTAAATTTACTTAAACAATTTTTGATATAAAATTTTTTTTTTGTCTGTATGAATACTTTGCACATCTATTTTTTCATTCTTAGGGCAAAGTTTTATGCTTCATCAAATTCGAAAAATGGTTGGAATAACAGTAGCTGTATTGAGGGGCTATGTAACACAGGAAATATTAGACAAGTCATTTACCATTGAAAAAGTTAATATTCCAAGAGCACCAGGTTTAGGTTTAGTACTCGAAGAAGTGCACTATGATCGATATAATTCTAGGTATGGAACAGATGGCATTCATGAAACATTGGATTGGAAGGAATGTGAAAATGAAATAAATGAATTTAAAGAAAAGTACATTTTCCCCATTATAATTAATACTGAAGTAAAAGAGCACTCTTTTGTTAATTGGATGGAAGGCAGACTAATGAATCATGATTTTAACAAAGTAGAAGAAGAAAATTCTTTAAAACCAGAAGATAATGCAGAAGATGAAGAAGAACAAAGTAGTGATGATGAGTGTGAAAATGTTGCTGAACAAAATGACAAAGAGCAAGAGGAAAAAATTAAGGAAGAAAATATTTCACAGTGTCATAGTGATAAATATGAAGCTAAAATATAATGACAATTTCTTTTTTTATTCAATAAATGAATTTGGATTTTATATGTTGTTTGTTTATGCAAAAAAAACTCTTTATATGTATAACTAATATAAAAGGCATAATTGGGAAAACATTCTTTGCTAAAAAATGAAGAACCAAAGTTGAACAACTTTTTTGTTTCTGACATTAAAACAGTAATAAATATAAGATAAGATACAGATAAAGGCATTGAATCGATCAGGAATCGATTCTTTAGTTTTCTGCAATTTTTCATTCTAAAAACGCATGCGTGAGCCGTATCACCAATCGTCCCGCACTGTGTTTTTAATGTACTTTCAACGTATGCAAACAATATTTATAAATTGCTATTAAATTTATAAAGGGTATATAGATTTAGAGCCAGTTAAAAATGTGGGTACGCAAAAGTGTCAACCTATTTTTAAAAAAATTTTATGTACATATAAGATTCATTTTTGAAGCAAATACTTGAATAAAAAAAAATTATCTGCAATAATCTGCGTATGTATGTATTTTTTAAAAAGTTATAAGAATTGTGGAGTTCTAAAAATCATAGTATTAAAGCCCAGTTTTTTGTTAAAGCTCAAGAACGAAAGCGCGTTCTAAATCTTTATTATTGCTTATTTAATTTTAATATTTACCAACCGAATCGTATAATTAACTGAATAAGTAAACCTAATAGTGATTCTTCCAATGTCTAATATTCGATAAAATAGCTCTGAACAAAAAAGCGCAATAAATAAAAAAGAAATTTAAATTGATCGCTACTTTTCTAGACAGCTTATTAAAAATATCTGTATTTAATGATTTTCTAATAATAAACAGAACGAGTTCAGCAGCAACTCTAGACACACTGTATATTTATTGTAGATACGTGTCTGTCTCTCCGTTGGCTGTAGTCGAAACAAAAATAGAACTACCAGTGGTTATTAGGTGTCCGAAACTAATTTTCTAATGGTACTTAAGTAGTTATTTGCGTGCGTAGGTAATATACTTATATACATATATGCATTCATATATGTAAATATATACTCCAATATGAGTGTGTAGTATGTAGAGCTAGATGATACAAACTTTTCGTCGTCACAACAGCTCGACGTCGTTAGGTCCTTTATTTATTCCAGGCCATCCCTACGCAGTCCTATTGCTTTTTACGGGACTCCTAGGTGGGGAAGGGGGGAAAAGAGGAACCCGCGGCGTCGACTCTGACGTCACGGGATACGCTTGCTCGCGCCAGCTCGTCCTGATCGATTATTGCTACATAGTTCCCGTTTAATTTACTCGGACATGCACAACCATACACAATATAACGGGAACTCGATAAAAAATAAGTTACAAGTGGTTTATATACTAATCCAAAGTTTCCGAAAGTTTTCACGAATGACAGGGGTGTAAAAGTCAAGGGTCGCACACACCCCTTTATGTAATAACGGCAACCAGTGTCCCCGTATAGAGCTCGCGGGGACCTTGACACGATGCCACCGGTGTTGTTGGTTTTTATTCAGTGTTGTGTTTAAAGCGTTAAAATAATAACGAATATGATCATGTGGTGGGCTGGGAGCAAGGAAGTGCAGTTTTAGTGACGCCACGGAGAGAGGAAAAACAAGGAAGAGGTCACATCACGATGGGCAACTCGTGTAGCAGCGGTCAGTCGCACAAGGATAAGGATAACATGTCGCAGAGGTCGGAGGAGTAAGTTTTATCATGATACCCTGTTAATATTTCGACGTTACTGTTTCTCTCAATGTGTTCAGCTATGATTAATACGAGTGTTAATTACAATCGACACCAACAGAACTTTTTACACTTTACCGTAAAAATATTCAATATTGTTTGGACAACATGTTTTTGTCAATAAATAATATACGGAACATAAGATGTTTATAAATATGTAGCTAGATAGCAATATTTTTATTAAGTGAACTGGAAAAATGTTCTGTTTATTTTTCCAATAATTATATAGTATCTATTTTAATAAATTTAATCTATTTTTCATTTTTATATTCCCTAATAAATTACCCATACTTGCAGCATAGGCAAACTTTTGCCAAATAAAACACCTAATTATAATCTAAACGGTCTACAGATTTGTCGCTAAATGCAGAAATGTGTTCACTAACGATCAGATATAACTTTAATAAATGCAATACCTACTCAGTAACAATATTCACATATTTTTAAACTTACGACTGCTAAAATTACTTATTTATATTATGAACTATCATATCTCGTATTTATGTAAAAAAGCGGCATTCATTATAGCATTTGCGTCATTAAATTAATTAAACTCCATAACTTTTTGAAACATTCGAAGTAAAAAGCACGACAAAAGTAAGTTTAATTCACTTATAAATGTGTTTTAATTACTACACGTTTACTACTTTTACTACATTATAATAATAAAAAAGTAATTACTTAATTTTCATTCAAATCAGTTAATGAATGGACAATTTAATGGTCTATTTTATGACTTTTGCAATTCGAGTTTCAAAATAAACGGGCGGATCATAATAACTGAACGATTAAAAAATTCATTTGAATAATTCAAATGGGTGCCAGTGAAATAGTGTAATTTAAAATAAAACCCGATTTTTTTAATTAACTAAAAACAAACAAAGACTTATATCGTACATACAGGCAATTCGAATTAGTAAAAAATAAATAAATGATAAAAACGAAAAGCTAATGAGATTCTATTAGGTAAGTTGTCTCTAAGTTTTGACCTCGGCATTTGACTAGGCTCTATGTATTATAGCATATTTGTGCATAAATTACAGAAATAGTTAAGTGACGGGAAGTAAGAAATGTTACGTTTATTTTCGGTTTTAACGATTATTATTAACAAACCAAAACGCAATTCACTCGCCTATCGTTCAATAATAACACATTTCACAAGCCATTGTAATATTATCTAATCCGTAAAAATTTACCCGAAACATGATCGGTACATGTTGCTATTCAAAAACATGAAAAAGCTATGACATAATAAATGTTTTAGGTACATTACGTAAATCGCACTCCCCTCATTGATCACGTTAAAGAGAATCGATTTGGGGAAAGCAAGTGATTTATTTTACGTATGTTCTATGTACGTAAGTTACCGTGTGAGTTTTAGCGTATCATAGCAGTTTTATGTACCTATTCTGAAAATATTGTACATATATCTCTTATCTAAACAATACAGCCGTTGCACTTGTTTACTTTGCAAACAAAAGCGAAATAAGTTAATTAAACAACTTCCATTACTAATAATAAATTAAGATAGAGGGTGTTTTAACGAAATACGTCATTTTAATCTTTTACTAATTCAATTAGCAGATTGTTTTATACTACATACATTTTAAACAGGCTAGGAACCAACTAATGGTCCCGCTAGATCCTTACGGAAAATGGCTCTCTGTTGTAGTTCTCGACGTGTAGATCAAAAGTCTCAATGGGCGTCAGAACAACTAGAATCCAAAGTTTCAAAGAGTTTGAAAGAGAACCACTTTTCATAAGGATCTAACAGGGCCCTTCGCTTTAGATACTACTTATTCACGAATATATGAATGAATATTCACTTGTCTATCAAAACAATGTCGCTATCTCAACTTAAAATGTAAATTCTTTTTGATAAACTTTAAAAACCATGATTAATAAATCAGAGCATATCCCTTGTTCAAGGGAAAAAACTTTTTCTGACGCGTAAAGAGTATACAGACAAATATACGTGTATGTTTCTTTTGTAACACAGTTAATTAATAGATGGTGTGGCCATCATAAAATATAGGTACTCGAAAGTGTATTAGCACCTTTAATTGGGTGGTTCAAATATACGTTTCTCATATAATTTTCACCCTTATAATGCAATTAGTTTAGTCTGTCATTTCGGATCTGTGGTCAAAAAAGTTTTTGTAAAACTTTCAGATCCGGCAGTTATCAAGTGAGAGCAAGTTTGTCAACAGAAAAGCAACAGGTTCTGCTAAATCATGTTTCACAACAGCAGCATTCGGGAGTGCTTTTGGAGCCGAGTTCGGCGGGAAAAGCTCCCCTTGAAGAGCCTCCTAAAACATTACCAACCGCTACTGTAACTAGTGAGAAGAAAACTGTACTCTCCAAGGCGTTGCATGGTACTGTTACAACTAGCATGTCTGGTAATTTCTATAAACTACTTGAAACTTCTTGCTTGGTGTGTCAGAAATCGACCGACGCCATTCATATATGATCTATTATTACATTTGCACACATAAAATATGTTATGAATGTAAACCCAATCGGAAACGCGGAGATAAATACGCTATCAACTTATTTTAAGAACTTGACAATTGTTGATGGATATTTGGACCTTTTGTATCCGACTGTGGAAGACATCTTCGTGGATTACGTGATGATATAGTACTACAAGCAATTATTTACAGTCGTTTTCGTCTTCATGTAGTACACAATCCATTGAAGATGTCTCCTACTGTCTGAGACAAAACGTCCGGCAAATTTGATGGATGATCACGACCTATCAGCCCGGAAGATAACAACCCTCTTCATTAGATGACATCAGTTTAACATTCAGGATGTCTATTTTGATAGAAAATACTTTTTCTATTCAAATAGTTTACACTATCCAATCAAGTAAAGACTTTAACGGAAGCGTTTACAAATTTATTTGACCAATCAAAATGTAGAATTTTTAAAATATTATTCAAAGTTTCTGTTCTTTCCAAATTGCAATCCAAAGTTTTTCAGAACATATTTTATTAATATGCATTTAATACTAAAAGAAAATAAGAAATTGGCCATTAGAGTGTGACACTTTGCAGAGTCGATGTCGTTAAGTTCTCCTGTTGGTTCTCACAGTCTTGGAGATTTCGATTCTGCGCAACTTCCAGAGGAAGTGGCCAAACTGTCGGAACAAATGCAAAATTTGCTTCTTGGTAGAGTTCTCCAACAAAAGACATCAATTAAGACACAAAAAATTGTCATTTACATTTGCGCGGCCGATTCACAAGGTATTTCTATCTTATTAACGTCCACACACACAATTAACGGATACACCTACCATTTTTTAGACTGTTGTGTGGAAAAAGGAGCTTTCCATAATATCCTCTATCCTGATCTCAGGTCATACTGCCGTTCCAGGGATTATGAGCTACATATAGTAGACCTACACTGGAAAACGTTGCTTGAAAAACAACAGGATCATGAGTTTCCAGAATTGTGTATAGGCGAACTAACAAGTACGAAAAACATCCAATATAGTCCAATTGACTTATATTTTTTCCAATCCTTGTAATAGTTTGCTAAATCATTTTCGTTCGTTTTGCGTTTTAGAATCAATAATAATTTCAAACGATTTCTAATGCCTTTTTGAGCTATTTTAAAAAGAATCTTACTTTCTCTCTTTTGGTCTATTAAGAATTTTCACCACATTAACACCTCTAGTTTGTTTCATTAGAAATTCAGTTGATTTCACATTAATGCTGGACAATTATTTATGAATTAATTATTCGTAAGTAATTATCAAACGATAACATCTAGTAAATTATAACGAAGAATCAGAAAAACAAAGGTCAATTTCACAAGGAATATGCCCCACAAAAACGTATTTTGCGTTTTCAATTTATTAATTTCCCTTTTTTAGGAAAAAATGATTTTCGAGTTATTTTTCCCCTATATACTTACTTCCGTTTACAAACAATTGCTTTGTTGCATTCGTTCAAGGATTTTCACATAAGTATTCTTTTAGGACATTTGGAAGTAGCGTACGTAATACCTGTGATTTTCCTTAATAATTCGTTAGGCACCCCTTTACTTCCAAACACAATAGAATGCGTAGATTTCAAAGTAGCAGTAGATAGTGCAGAAAGTGAAACTGCACAATCCCTGCTAAATAAATGGTAAGTTGGACAGAATTGATAAAGAAAAAGTGGAAAAACGAGGAAACGAAAAATTGTTTCTGCACCCAGGTATCGCTTAGATAGCGAAGCTCAGCCCCCTTGCTACCGTTTACAGCCAGTATCTTGCCACATCACCGGATTTCGAGAAACCTCAAGCCAAGAAAAAGAAGCAGCCTTAGAAGAATGGAAAACTGAAATTGAGAAGCTCCTTGAAGTCCTTGTAAACGTTTTTCCTCTGGAGTTAAGAGATAGTTATCTAACAACTGTCGTTGAGCAGGTACAGCAAAAACGTCACATTTATGTATCTTTAGAAATACCTTCAGTATTCGCTTGGATTATATTATTATTAACACTAGATGTTCCAAATAATTCAAAATTTTGATCGGGAAGTGCTTGGTGAACAAAAAATGAACAATTATTTATTCTAGGAGGTCCATAACACTGTATTCATGAGTCAGGAGTTAGCTAAAAGGTGTATATGGGTGAACAGAGTTTTCACGCCGTCAGAAAAGACGCCTGAAAATCCAACTTGTGGAGAAAAAGAACTCGAACGTCGTCTCAATAACTTACAAAAAGATCTCAGAGTAAGAATAGCATCTGCAGTTCTACGAAAGATACTAAATCAATCACTTTCAGGAGCAGCTCGCGGAAAAGCATATTATTAGGACTCTCGTCAAAAATATGGATAAAGGATTGAATTTAGAAGTAGCCGAACATAAACAGTACATCGATCAAATAATAACGAGTTTAAAAAAGTATCTGATCGAAACCATAAATAATATTATCGAAGAGCACAAAAGTAAAACAGTTGTTAGACCAAGCTATGGCATAGATTCTGAACTATTCGAGGAGCTGAATCAGCAAACTATTTTTTGTCAAAAGGCAGCTCAGTGTAGTATAAATCGAGAAAAGACCATCAATGAAATTAAAAGGTATTCAATCGTAGGTATATTGGTATCCAAAATTATTTCTGAAATCACATTGCGACTCTGTAAAATATCTTCCTCTTCAATTTCTCGGTCTTATCTACGACTATCGAGTAAAGAGCACTTATTTATTAATCAAACTAATCAATCAGAACATATTTTTAATAGTCTGCATGTGGCTACTACTGAAAAGGAAATGGGATCTGATTGATTAGTTAATTCAGCTTTTAAATGTGATAATTACTCATAGTGATGAACAAAGCGAAACCAAGATCAAGACTGTCTCAGTCTTGATACTGTTCTTGGCCTGGCTTATTCGGTCTTGATGTTGCTCCAATGCTTCTAGTCTTGATCTTCCTGATGTAGTCTTAATCTTGTTTTTGGACTTGCGTGTTAAGTCTTGCTCTTACTCATTTAATCTGACACTTAGATTTTCTTTAATAATTCATCTAGCAATAAGCACAAATTTTTCTATATACCGATTCAATAATTGCTCTGAATGCTGAAATCTTCTGTCAGACATGCGACCCTGTCATCACTTTTAAAGAAAATAGTGTCGATACGATATAGGAATACAGAACACTTAATCCAAGGACATTCTTGTAGATCCCTTTTTTCGAACAGCGGTAAAGTTTCTGTTTTTTATATTTAGTGTTAAAATCTAGTAACGAAAACTAAAAATTTCAAATACTAAAAATGTTTTATTCCAAAAAAAGAGTATATTACAACTGCTTGAAATAGTTTAACTCATAAATCCATCGGAAGTAATAATTTTTAGATTAGTTTTGCGTATTGGACCTTGATTTTAGGCTTGATCTTATTCGTTCAGTTTTGGTTTTAAATTTTGTCTTAGTTTTGCTAGTACAAAGCCAGTTTTGGTCTCAGTCTTGTATTTTAACCAAGATTGCAAGACAAAGAGTAATTTTGCTCATCACTATACTATATCATCTATGTTGTCCTACTGATTGTGGCATTTTAGGATAAGAGTTGCTGGAGGTTTCAAAAATGTTTTTTTCAGCTATATAACGAGTGATAACGCATCCCCGTTAGTTGTTCTTGGAACTAGTGGCTGCGGTAAAAGCACCCTTATCGCAAGGGTGGCTCAATGTTGTCAGCAGTGGTTGCCTGAAGCATTTCTTATCATTAGATTCGTTGGAATTAGTGCACAAAGTAGTACAATCGAACAAATTTTGTATTCCATCACTAATCAGTGTTCTTTTCTTATACACGGGCATAAATGTTACTGTAGGCATGTAAGTTATACGCATTACAAAGAAAAAGCGTTCACAAAAGCATCCTAACGGAATTTTCTGATTTTTTAGAATATCGAAACTTATTCCAAAGTTCTTCCAGACCTTTTAACGTCCGGCCACTATCAAAGGCCAATCATTATTATTTTGGATGGTATCGATCAAGTTAAACCTTTTGGATTAAAAACGATCGAATGGTTACCTAAGGAACTTCCGGGAAATATTAAACTTGTTTTGTCCGTAACTGAAGGTAGCGATATTCATAACTCGATGAAAAGTAAATTTAGCGAAAGTTGTTTCGTGAAAATGGCGATGTTGGGAGAAAAGGAAGCAAAGGACATACTGATGTCCAGCGTTATGCAGTACAATCATAGCGTTGATTCTAAAGTTCAAGACTGTGTATTGAAATCCGTTAACGAATGTACGCATCCACTCTATGCAAAAGTAGGTGATTTCGAACTTTTCTATTTTCAATTCACGACAATTAACTTTTTTATTTGTTTCTAGGTCTTGGCGTGGCAAACATCCTGGTGGGTTGACGACGAACACACTATTGTGCCAAAAGGTGACGTTACAGCACAATTGAGTCAGATGCTTGAGGAACTCGAAAATATTTTGGGATTAGAACAAGTTCAACATGCTTTGGCATTAATGATTTCTACGAAACATGGAATTACCGATTCTGAAATGATAGATCTTCTAGCGTTCGACGAAACCTTCCATTCAGATGCTACATACGGTAGTTTTACATATTACACATACATAGATAATGGTATATTTATAAAAACAGTTCCGAAAAATTTTGAAACACCCTGTGTATAGTTTTTGATGTTACGCCAGACAAGGGGCTTGATTTATTTAATTAAATTTATTTTTCAGTTGTTTGGGCACCAGGCTGTCTGACTTGGTCACGTTTGAACAAACACTTGGCACCATTCATACAATGGACATTGACCAGTGGAATGCTGGGCATTGAGTTTAGGGACAGCACATTTTGTGAAGCCGTTAAATGTAGATATAAAGACAATTCCCACTGGGCACATAACATGCTCTACGACTATTACAACGTGAGATACATTTTTTGAAATTTTATCTGACCATACTAACATGTTTGCAATTTGTTTTTTATTAGGGAAAATGGTGGAGTTCTCAAGAAGAGAAGTTCAAAGCGAGACTAATGTCCCAAGATACTGTCCTTGGAAAATGGTAAAACTAAATGAACATTGTCGATACCATGTTATCGTTTTTTTTTTTTTATTGTAATTTTATGTTTTAGTTGTTATAATAAGAGGAAAACGAACGAATTGCCATATCAGTTTTATTGTTTAGACAAAATGAGTTTTTGTAAATCAACATATCTAACCGACTTGTCGTGGATTTATACGAAGATTTGCGCTTCGGGACCCTGTCAAATGTTAGAAGACTTGTTCATTTGTGAAAATGCTCAAGATAAATATATCGAAATTCTGCGAGAGTTTTTAGAAGAAAACACGGTCTTCCTCAAATACGACGGCCGACAGTTTTATCCGCAACTGTATTGCTTTCTGAAGATGAAGATTGCAAAAAAACAGCTACAAATTTCATCCGAAATTAAGTTGTCTGAGATATTTGAAAGGACAAAAACTCCTCCTGTATTATCCTTAGTGCCTTTAGATGTCGATACATCTGAAGATGAGTTGAATATGGGTACGATAAATTTCAATCTTATTCTTAGATTACCAGGCACAGATAGTTTCATTGTAAGCGTTTCCACTGAGAGAGATGAAATTTGTGTTTGGGATGTTGTGAGGTAAGTAAAAATGTTGCTTATTTCTATCTTGGACTGCATCAATTAACTACACTTATTTATTGCAAAGACCAAGGTTACATAGTCGCTCTGTTGTTATCTGCATTTTCTTTCTCCTTTTTTCTTTTTTTCATTGTCCCTTGGAGTATATTGATTCATTTTGTTGATATAACTCCCATTTCCCATGGTTTCACATCGACAATGATGCTGCTTCAGGGTTGATATTTTGAAAACTCATTTTATCACAGATGGTCTCATTCTTGGGTCAGCGCTTTGGGTTGCGGCTTGATCAATACATCAAACTTTAAACCCCTTCTTGATCCGTTTAAAAAGACCTTTCTTAGTGTTCGCCTACGATGTAGAAGTTCCTTATACGTTCCGTCTGTGCAAAAGTTCAAATGATATTTTGAAAGCTCATTTTATAGTAGTTGATCCCATTCTTGATTCAACGCTTTGGGCTGTGGCTTGATCGATACATCAAACTTTGAACCCCCTCTTGATCCCTCTAGCACGTATTACAGGTCGAACCTATCAAGCTACTACTGCTGGAGGGACTGTCCACCCACCAGTATTTTTAACTAGATAGTAAATTATATTCTCTTTGTAGAGGAATAAAAGTACGAACTTTATCAGGCATTAACCATCCGTCAAACTTAATACCGATAGACCAATATAATTGCGTAGCGCTGTGCAAGCGAGAATTGAAAATATACAATTTAGATACAGGATCGTTTGTGAAGAAACTTAAAGGCGTTATGAACCAAAAGATGCCTTATTATGGGCTTCACGACCAAAGCCACTTAGTTGCGCTTAGTAGAAATAGGATGTATGTTAATCTTATGAATTTAGAGTCAGGTAAGAGAAAAAGAAAAATTGAAAAAATCGTTTAATGAATCAATACTCATTACAGGAGACTGTGTTACAACATTCAAGGCAGGTGAAGACCGATTTCTTAATTCCCTGCTGGTTTCGGGGGACGGGAGGTATGTTTTAATATTAAAAATATGTCTATTATCTATCTCATAAGCAACAAACTATGTTAACGTTCACAATCACCCTTTGATGAAGTTTTTACACGAATGTTATTGAGTTAAAATGTTAATTGCGGAAGACATTAGTTGTTGAAACTTGTATATAATGGTTAATAATAGAAACGCACTTATAAATTCCAAGCAGATATTTAAAAATACACTGCGACTGTTTCGCTATAACATCATAGCTTCTTCCGATGAAGGTACAACTAATTTTGAGACGACTTATTTTATTCAATCTTCACCTGAAGAAACTAATGTTTTAACAAAACAATAGCAGTGTATTATTGAAACTTAACAATTGTTATTAAAGTTTTGATGTAACCACATATTTTGTAGAATCCTTGTATGTGGTGACGAAACTCAAAAACCATTTCCTTTACTCGTATGGAATTTAAAATCAAAGAAACTAATGTACGATCTACGAATTCCCCATCATGATTTTATAACATCCTTATCAGCTATAACATATGAAGGTAAAACATGAAAGCGTAATAAAAATTGATTTCCAAAAAAGTTGATTTTTTTTAAGGGAACTACGTTTGTTGTGTTTGTCACGAAATAGATGAACCTAATCCGAATTTTATAGTGGTGTATGATCTTCAAAGCGGCACCTTATTTAAAAAATGGAAACCCTCTTGTAGCACCGTAGCCTTAGAAATAAGTTCTCCCGGAGGATGTGTAATATCAGGATTGGAAGATGCCAGGATTTTAGTATGGGATCTCATTACTGGTAAGTACCTAAACTTATAACTTATACCAGTAGGTACCATTTGGGCGCATGCCCTTACAGCTTTATTTAATAAAGCAACGAAATTGGACAATCTGATGATATTAAATCATTACTTATCAAATGATATCATTCTCTATAGTGTGAATATTGAATTTCAGGGAATTGTAGATGGTCGCTGTGTGGTCATACTGCTCCTGTTAGTTCGTTACGGTTAGATCCTACAGGATTCTTTTGTCTATCATCCGATGTGAAATGCAGAGATAGATCAATTCGGATTTGGGACCTCAACAAAGGTATGCACTGTACTAGTTCAGATTCAGAACATTAAGATTTGGAAAAATAGATTTTATCCATTTAAAGTTGTACACTTGAATCTCAATAAGATGTGAAATTTAATGAAATTGTAGGTGATTTAGTGGCAGTTTATACTCCTCAAAATAGCATAAACGCTTGTGAGATAATGTCTCGAGGAAGAATCGTAGTATTGGCATTAGAAGGATTTCCCACCTTACAAATGTTACACTTGAGAGGACCAGGGGTACAACATGCAGACGACAATTACGTTTATGGAAATCCCGAAAATAACTTTAAAGTTTTTAACGTCGACGAGTCTGAAAACTGCTGATGTTAAATGCAAAATTTCTTTGTTTGTTTGTTTGGATATAGTACCTTCTATATCCATCCATCTGCAATTGCTGTTTATCCCGTAAATCACTTTTGTAATAACGCACAAGGATATAAGGGATTTCCTTTAATCTGTTATTTTTTAAGACTGATCATGATAATTTCTCGTGTGCGCTCGTTATTCGTAAAATGTTAATTCATCAATCCATTATTTCGATTATACATTCCGTACAGTTATTGTTAATTAATAATTGTTAAAGAAGCACGTTAAATTTCGACATTTTTCTTGACAATCACTGTTAGCTGTTTAATGTGTTTATGTGCATACTTCCATTCAGTGATTCACATCAAATAATATCAATATCGACATATATTTTAAAATATATGTTTAGTCATGCAGGCTTTTAACTTTGCCAATTCCATTCCATGTAAAACCAAAGAAAGCCTCCCAAATCAGAAACATACTATAGTCCTTAATTTGATGTGAATCACCCTTACATTTCCAATGTAAATATCACAAAAAGTTTCGTGGTACACAAAAGTAGAAACTACTTTAATATGCACAAACTTTAATTTTTGTGACAATCCCTATAAGTAATTAAAAGACGAATAATTCACTTGGTAAATAATAATGTGTTAATATGATAATTGCTTTTAATTGACTCATTGATGTAGTTTGTAAGTGAATTGGACCCTGTGTACGTCTATTAAAAAAATACTTGTTTTAAATTAATTTTAGAAGAAAAAAAAAACATTATTTGAGTTATGATTAACTCGTAAACAATTTGAATCGTTTGTTTTTGCAAAATTTATTTTTTAGTGAATAAAATATCAATTTGAAGATAACAGAAAAGGAAGCAGTTACATATAAAGGACTACTTGCTAATACTAAAGTTTTAACATTGTTTTATCCCTCAAAAAGGTTAGCTGTGTACTCCAGATATACTCCAAAAGTATTTACAGTAGTAATAAATATTTTATGAAACAAATATTGAAGGAGAAATTAACACCTTTATTTTACTTGTATGTTCTGACCCGTTTAAAAAGTGTCATACGTATGATATTATTTAGGAAAATAGGAAATGTTACTTTGTTGTAATGAACAATAGAATGTTTAAGAAAAATGCAATGATGTTTTCAAGAAAAAAAAAACTAAATGTACGACTTGTATCTCTTTAATGAAGGTAAACAGCAAATGCAGGAATTTCAAGTATTATGTTTCATAATTAGCTATCTTTCTCAATTTTATCTTGTTGTTTATATTTTGTTAGAAAAACTCTGTTAGGAATTTCCCATCTGGCATGTGGAAAAGTTATATTTATGTATATGTTTTTCTTGTACAGAATAAAATATCTTATTATGATATTTGCTATTTAAAAGACATTTCAATGATCTTCAAGTAATTACAAAAGACACATATTAGAACATAATTATTCTGCAATTTCTTTATAACAAACATCAAAAGATGGAATACTCTTTGCATTCTTCATACTAACAAAGCACAACTGTAAAAATTCATCTAGTACTTGACCATCTGAATCTGCTGGGTTTTTGAGGAAATTTATAAATGCTGTCTATAAATACAAAAAAAAAAACAATATTATTTCATACATCATAATGTATTTGAAACCTACCATTTTAATATGGGGCATATAAACAGGTTTATGTTCCAAAAGCATTAGAAGTAAACGAGTTACATTGTCCCACTCTTGCCTCAAAATACTGTTCCTAATTAATTGTGGAATATACGTAGGTAAATACCATAGTACATTTGGCTCTTGTGTTAAATGTGGAGTAATATTTTTAGAAATTGATTGTGAACATGGTGAGGGCTTTTCTTTTTCAAATTTTGTTACATGAACATCCTCTAATATTTTCAGGGCGTTCTCAATGTCACTTTGTAATACACTTTCAGTATGTTCTAATACGTGAACGTTGTAATCTTCTCTCTCTTTTAGTTTCTTTGCAAACTGTTTATGAAGTTTTCGAAACCTTACCTTGAGCAACTTTTCTTGTCTCCTTTTCCGCTCATACTGTTTGTAACGCTGTTTTACACCATCGTTGAAATCGTTGTCATAATTGTTACTACTTTCTTCTTCCATTTAATTATACTGATGAGAAATAATGAGAACAAATTATTTAAAAAAGTTTCATAACCTAATATTCCACTAAAATTGTTTAAAACTATCAGGATCGGCACAGTATTAATGTATATGGTAAACTAATTTAAATAATTAACCATTGTTTTTTTATTTTAAAAATAAACCATCAATATAAGAATAAACAACATAAAAGATGCCGGTACCGAACGTTAAAAACATAGGCATAAACATAGGTTAAAAACTAGGTTAGACTATGAGGTTAGATTAGATCATAGATACCAATTAGAAGTTATGGTTAATGTACCACTAATATTTGCAGTGTATAGTTATAAGTAAGCCGAGCCTTAATAATAATTTAGTAATAATAATAGAAAAATGGAAGATACTTTTAAATTTTTTTAATAAAAAAGTTGAAGACTTGGGGTTTTCCAAAACTGGAAGATTTTCTATTGAAAATGGGTTTTTATAACATATGTACCTGGGTAAACTCTATTTTAACACCATTTTCAATTGCTTCAACAAAAAGTTATTTTACCATTTTGTAGATCTCTTAAGAGCCAATTCTTTCATTTAAAATTGTTTAAAACATACTATTTATATTTACATATAATTCCAATACTAAATTTTAATCGTCAAGCATTTATTAAAAAAAAGAAAGAAAATTGGAATCAAACATGCACTTGTTCGGCTATAAAAATTAGAAGCAAGTAAAATACATTTATAACTTAACTTATAACAACTGAAATAAAATAAAGTATTACTTTTATTAAACATTAAAACAGTAAAAAATCGTTCAAATATGTGAGTTTTGGACGCTGTTTGCCCAGTTTTTCCGTAGTTAATAGAACTTGTCGTGAATAAACATTCTAAAATCATTTATTTATAATAAAAAGTGAAGACCTATAGGTCCTCTTATAACAAATGAAATAAATTTGCCGAAATAAAGAAGGATATTCACATTCCTAATACAATTATTTTAAATTCGCCCATGTATATCAACTAAGCTGGCTGTGAATTGTAGATTCTGGTGTTCTTCTCTGGTTGGTTGGTGGGGAATGGTCTTTTCAAGTGATGTTATATTTATGGAAACTTTACTCTCGAAAATATTTTGTAAATTTTAAATAGTAAAAGGGCATAGGCCAAAAAAATTTTGGCCAAAATGCGTTCTTCTAATGGTCCACTATTCGAGGTATGTATTGTTTTTTTTCGCACCGAAAAGATGATCGTTGCATTTTAAGATTAATTTTCGATAACGTAACCTATGCCTTCATCATTATTATAAGGTCGTCAGTCCTAAGACTGCCTGGACACGCACCTCCATTCTTTCCTATCCTGAGCTAATCTTGGCATTTCCCTAAAACTAGAACAACCCACATCCTACACATATCTACTTACTGATGTTATTAATTTATAATTTTGATACCTAGACGTCTTTGTAATCAATCTAAATAACCAAAAAATTCCTAGAAGCTTGCTCTCTTACCCATTAAATCAGTTAAGGCATTTTCATGTTTCTATAGGAATTGGAATGGAAGTTAGTCTAAAACATTTTCAACAGAATCAAATTGATTAGGAAGGTCAAAACCTCCTTCAGAGCAAAGGACATTCTTGCATCTTCATTTAAGCCATTACGTTCATAACTTAATAAGATATGAATTTTAATAATAAATGAAAAGAAAATTGTTTCATTTTACTTTATGGTTAACGTTTTTATAAAGGAAAAATGATGATAAGAATCCTGGGGGCAGAAGAGAGCACCAAGAGATGAAGTTGAAGATCCTCCAGTGAAGAAGTTCTTGGAGTTAGGTACGAATTTCGAATTTTTATGGGAGCACATACTCTGCACCAGGGCCAGATGTAGCATGTAGGAAATTTTGATCAAAATTTGTTGTTTGCATTCACAAGTATACTTTCTTATTTTGCTTCAGTTCAATCCAAGTTTGTTACTTGAGAAGAGAATCTAAATAATATTTGACAAGATGCGGATATGGAAGGTTGACCGAAGCATCGTCGTAGCTATTCCAAAAGAGCCTCGACGAACCACATCGAAGAGTAATTTGGACAACAGCAAAAGGTAAAATTAAATAAACCCTTCCAGTTTTCTATTAATTAAGATTTATTGTTTCAGAATACATTTTAAACGTACCTATCAATGTATCAACGTTCTGAGGACCGTCAATCAATCGACAATTGACGGGGATGGTGGAGGATCTCAACCAACGAAGACTAGCAACTCAAAGAAAAGTATGTCACAACGTTTTACTCCTTAGAGTACTTCTATTTAATTGCGTTTTCTTTTCCTTGGTTACATATTATGAAGTTATCAAGAAGAAAGAATACTGGGGGTGGATAAGAGCATCAGGAGACGCAGATGCCAGTAGCTCTAGACCAGCAGTTTCAATGTACATGGATTATGGGTTGTACAATCGTCATTACGAAGTAACCAAATTGCTTTGGAGTACAATCTGTATCTCAATTTTACAGGTAAGTATCCACGTACTTCACTGACCTACAGCCTTTTCTTTTGTTTCAGCTCTATGTGAGTTTGTTGTGTGTTCGAATCGTATTTAAGTTAAAGTGCCTTTCAATGATATTATACTTGGTGGTGTTCGCGATCGGTAGTGAAATAAAGTGTCAATGTGTGTGTGTGATGGATAGTGATGGAATGGTATGGTCAATGGTTCCCCCTCTACCCTCCACCCATTCTGGTGTGACATCCAGTCACCACCATTCATCACGGAGAGGATGAGGATCGTGGACATCCGACGCTGGATAGATAAAGGTTTCGGTGAACCCTGCTGAGGTCTAGCCGACGCCTCAAAGTAAGTCACTAATGAATATTCTTTCAAATAGACTTGAGTGGCAAGTTTGTATTACCCATGTTTCCATTTGCATTTTTTTGATTTTTATTATTTTTGGGGCTAATTTGATTTTTGTGCCCAATAAGGTAAATTACAAACTGTAATTTAGTGTATTATTGGGCTCCTCTGGAAGTCCATTATCCAATTTAATCGTTCCACGTTTTAGGGACCGACGTATGCAGGTGCTGCGCCTGTGACGTCAAACTTTGATTATTATTATTATTTGGGTTTTATGATTTTATTAGCCGCTGGTTTAGGTCCTTTAAACTCTATTATATATATCTATATTTGTTGTTGTTTTTCGATGAGCATATATTCGAGGATGGATGGAGAACATTTAAAATTTTAATTATCTGATTACAATACTTATCTACAAGGGGTTTTGTCCACGTTGTCATTTGGGTCTTGTGTTCCACATACATATACACCATGCACACAAACTTTTACATGTTTATTTTATATATGTTTAATACTTGTCACTCGTTGGGTCTATTTGATATTTTTTTCAGCTGGTGTGCCTATATAGCAGTGTAGAGAGGAAGACAGTGTTAAGGTATAATGTACTATGCCTTCTTCTGGCATAACAGTGGCGGTTCGCGAATCGGTTCAGAGTTGGCGCCAAGTTTAATGATAAAAGTACGATAATTACAGAAGCTGATTTATGTTTTTACGTCTGTCGTCTCTAGAAACTGGATTTCTGGATCCTAACTGTCTTATTGATGATATCCCCATGGGGAATTATGGTAACCTAAGAAGTGTCCTTTTACAAACGATATCATTAGGAATTTCTCGTTGCCGTTGCTGGATTTCCAACGCTATTACTGAAAAACGTGAAGTTCCTGAAGTTATCCCTTGTGATAGGACACGAAATATATATATAAATATTTTTGACGTCACCATGATCAATTAATTTCATCAATAAGACGCGGTTAGAATTCGGCGATCTAGTTTTGTAGTAAGCTCTTCATAATCTTGAAATTAAAATTTTTTAGAATCTTTGATGAATATTTAAAGTTTTATTTTTATTTAAATCAATTCAACTCTTAGTGATTAATTCGATAACGACTCAAGCATACCAATATTTTAGTACCATTTCAAAATTGCAGATTTTTAAGAATTCAGTAGAAATACAACAATTAACTGTTAATAATTATTTTCCTGTTCGTTTAATTTTTGAATTAGCTCACTTTTAATTTTTTCTTTTGCAATTTGGTCATAAGAGTTCGTTCAAGGGACAGGCGAATTTTTAATTTAAACTCGTTCTCGTCTGTCTTGAATTACCGCCGCTGTCGCAACCTTTGCAATGCCTTAATAACAATCAATCTTTTTATATCAAAATTTATTCTTAATTTCCAATATGTCAGATTAATTTTTTCAATTATCGATATTCATTTTTACCAAAACGTTTAATTTATATAATAACATTCGTATTGTACCATTTCTATTACCATTACGTATAGGTATTATCACTAATTCTACCCATCTAAAACACATACACACCAATTCGTAAGTAATGATGTTAATACAGTACCTACTACCATCCCACTAGTGGGTTCATAGGTTCGAAATAAATGATATCTTTTATCTTTTACTAATCTTTCCCCTTTTATTTCAGCATGAACGGTAAGTGAAATACTTTATAACCAACCCAATATTTTTAAACGACGATACTAACCTCCTTACCTATTTTCTTTTTCAGGTTTCCGTGGGCTTTGTCTTCATTTGTTTCATACATTCTTTCTCTTCCATCTTTAGAAGAGAAAGAATATCAATAAATCAACACAAGTAAACATGATCACACAATTCGGTAAAATCGCGATCGAAGTTTTTCGTATCTTATTAAACGTGACTTTTTTACCTGTTTGTCATGTTTGTCGTTCACTCGAAATATTATTTATCCATCCTTAAAAATTTAATAATCAAATATTAGTTTTGTCGTGGTTCTGTTGTCCCAATAGTCGAGATTCGTTACAGGTTTTTGGTTGTATATTTAGGGCAACAGTCTCCCCAGTTCTCTATCGAAAATAGTCGGAGAGGGTACCTAAATTCTGCGATTTCCGATATATAACCGGTACCAATATAATTATCACTTCATTTAAACGCCTAAATTTAAGACTAGATACAATAATGGAAAGTGAAACCCATTACAATTACTTAGCTAGTGGTTTTCACTTTTTATGTTTGGTTTCCTTTTCGGGGTAAAGGAAAGGGGTAAATTGGTACGAAACCAAAAGAAAAATAATGTAACAAAAACGTTTATGTTTCTAAAATTACAAATTTAATGAAAATAAAATTATATATAACAAAAGAAGAAAACTAAAACGAATATTACAACTTCAAGTTATTAAACTGATACAAATTCGTCAAACTACTTTGACCTTTACAGGAAATAAAAATAAATTAAACAATGTGTACATACATCAGGTAAAGTACAATTACCTTATATTAAAACGGACTATCTTAAAATCACATTTTCGAATAAGTCTTTTCCCTCTCGAGACGTGGAGTGTCGTTTAAATAAATTCCAGGAGAGTCTCTTATGATTTGTATGATAGGCCAAAGATCCCGAAGGACTTGATAGACCACTAGACACTCCTGAACTACTGCTATGGGTAGAAATAGATCCCTTGTTTGATTTACCCAATGGCTGGAAGAAAAACATCCATTTTAAGCATGCCAAACGACAAAAATAAAATCGAAAATGTTTCTGTATGATACCTTCAAATAATTCCTATCCATGGGAGTTACAAGTTTGAGAGACAAAGTTTTTTCGTGTTCTTTGATCAAAGTGACCACTTCATCATGGGAAGCCCACTTGACGTCTTTGTCCCCAATCGCCACAATAAAATCTCCCTCTTTAACGCCACCAAACTGTTACGACAAATTATACACAAAATAAATTAATAACCACCTATCCAATTGTTCAATTTTCAGTTATAGTTTACCTCTGCTAAAGAATTTGAATCAACGCTTGCTATTATTACTGGAGCATCACCTCTAACTGAAAAGCCAAAACCGTCCGTATTCCGTCCTTTGTGTAACTGTATTTGCCTTGGCGCCGACCAATGTTTTTTTGCAGAAAATATTGCAATCGGTCCGAGACTTCGGAACAAATCGTTAACTCGAAATTGGGCAAAATCCGGTTGCGTAAGAGACAGTTGGAATTTAGTATTACCTAAAAGTAAAATTGTTATTGGGAATTTTTTAATTGAGCAGATTGAGCAGTGCCCCCTTCCCTTCAAAATGAGCTTTAGCAATAATTTTGGGGAGATTAAATTTAACCCAACAGCCACTTTCTAATAGTTAAAAGTTTGATGTTATTCTATTTTATAATCACGGAAAAAGGCAGACAAAACAAATGTATTCATCCTTCCAGACGAAAACCTCTTAATTTACCTTCTATATCTGGAGGATCCAAAATATCTCGGAAATCGTCTTCTTGTTCATTTTCTGTATATATTTGGAGTGCTGTATTATGAGCGTTTCTCAAAACGGATGTGAGAGCTTGTTTTCCTTTTAATTCCCTACAGAGCCTTTGCAGCCTTTGGCATTCCTCATACACCAGCAATGCTTGACGAAGATGCGCCTTTCCTAGAGTTACAAGAAAATAATTACTACATCTTTAAAAATTGCAATGCTCTCAATTAATAGATACCTACCTAACAATTTTCTTTCTGTCTCGTCTTTTGGAGAACGGATATTTAATTGCGTAGAAGTGCTTTCCAAGTGTAAAAAATGCAATAAATCTTTGGTAGCGGGTGACATGTTTTTGGCGTCCTCGTGTAGTATTCCAGAAGCTGCGTGGAAGTGTGCCATTGCCGTGAAATATTCATGTTTCATTTGAAGAAGGGAAATCCAACCGAAAGGAACAAAGTCTTTGACTGACGGGTGCGTGATAATTTGGTGAACGTGAGTGTAACATTCCCCAAGATACGAAGCTTCTTGGGCTAGGTCTAAGCAAACATCTACCGTTCTCTTTTCTTTGGATTGGAGATCTAACTTTTCAAGAAGACATTCTCGTGCTTGGGCCTACAATTAAATACGTTTTAAAATCTACTCGAACAATAAATTGATTTTGATTCAATGAAAAATGTAGGTACCATGTTGCTGAAGTGCAATTATTATAGAAAATACTACAAATGGCGTGGTGAGCGCCATCTGTAGTACGATGCTACATTTTAGGATTACGTATGCTCCAGCAAGGTCCATTTAAAAATATGGATATCTACTTGCTGTGTTCTGTCGGAGCTGCCTGCGACGCGCTGATGAGATCCAAATGATCGAAATCGCGATCCGCGTTTGGCAGTTTCGACAGAATACAGACCAATTATTATGTGCAATTATTATAATAATTAATCAAAAGAATCTACTGACCAGCATTAACTGTATAAGCATTTCCAACATCTCAGGGCCAAGATCCATGGACGGGGCATTTGTAAAATTTTCTTGTATGTATCTAAAAGTTCCAGCGGCCCTTAAGAAACTGTCAACGGCTGAATCTAAACCTTTCGACGTTCGCCGGTCTTGTTTGGTACCTATTTGGGTATATATGGCACCAATATTAAAAAGAACGCATGCTTTCTCGAAAGCTACGGTCCTTTGACATGATGGCACACCTGTGAATGATTTTGGTATCAAATAAAAATTTGAAAGTAGACCCTTATTAACGGATGTTGTACCTGTTAATGAATCAAACCATTCAAAATAAATGCCTAAGGATCTGTCAGGTGGAAAAAACCTTCTTTCAACGAAATACAATTGGTTAAAATATTTAAACAAAAGGGCTATTCCGGAATTGTCTCGAAGAGGAACTCTCATTGCCTACAATAGGAACATTGTAAATTTTACGAATCTATACGTTTTTCTTTTTGGACTTACTTGTCGAATATCCATAAATTCTGAAATAATTTCGTCATACTTGTTTGCATCTTCGCTGTAATGTTCCAATATAAAATCTTTGAATGGTTCTCGGAAATCGATTTCTTTAGTTTCTTTCAAGCCAAGGGGAATCATGGGCATTATTGCACCCGAGCTGAAAATTATAATGAATTTACATTTTAATGAATAAAATGTCACTACAATTTCAAGCTTCTTTTCTCAATTGAGATATTGATATAAGTAAAAAATAGTAATTTCTTTTCAGAAAGATCTAAATATCTTTATTATATATGTCCTCGAGACATTTAATAAACTGCCAACGTCAAGATGGCGGTCATAGTAAGCAAAAAAGTTTCCTATTGTTTAAAATCATCATTGTATGCAGAAAATAAGAGACGTAGCTGTTTAAACTCTCTATTTTCATTAGAACTTTCATAAAATTTCTATTTAATGTAAAAGTGAAGGTCCTTAAAAGAACATTATAAAATATGAAGTAGATGGCTTGATGCAATAGATTTTTTTGTAATCGTAATGGGGATGCTGCACAAGTTAATGTTAAATTTGCTTGATCATAAAGTGTAATCGTATCTGGTCAATTACGTAAACTACTAAACTTATTTGGCGCCAATGGCCTACATACCAATAATTCTTCAATATTTGACCAATTTATTTTGCCTAACATAAAAAAAATAAAATATTCTTGTATCGGATAAGAATGTGCTTCATTGCCCTTCCTTTACCGAAAAACCTTATGATAAACCTCAACGTTTACATTGTATAGGGTATCTTATCGTTTCGATATTGTGACAGATTTTTAGAAGTATATTATTTTTTTCAATGAATGTTGAAGATTGAGAAAAACGCGATATGTAATTTGGGAAAATGTAGAAAATTTTTTAGAAAGCACCCTGACTAATTGAAAATCACATCACACGCTTATTTAACGCGAAGGTCATGGGCATTTCATGGCCATGGTCAGCAAGCTCTCTTGAAGATCATTAACACACATATTTATCATCTCGCTGGTAGTAGCGGCGGCCCATCAGACAACCAGCGCGGCGACCGCTCCAACCATTTCCTCTTGTGACCCACATAACAGAATTGCGAGAACTGTTAATATTTCACGTGCTAACTATCAACATGTGCTCATGGCCCGCAACATATCTCACCTCAGGCATTCCCTGTACGCTACAAATTTATGTTTTATTGCAACTACTGTTACTACCAGGCATTTATTGTAGAATAAACAACAAATTACGATTCAGTTATTCCATGTTTAAAAAGATAATCGCTCAAATTAGTTAGTCAGTGATGGAAACCCGAAGATACCTAGAACATTACATCAACAATAATACCCTAGATCAACCTAGGGTCATTAGAAGCAATTGATACTTTGCTCAAAGGGTAGTAACTGTCATATCTTAATCTTCAATGTTAAGTGTTTTAAAAGTCTCATACAGCTTGCTGTAACATTTACCTAATTAGGTATTCTAATGGTCTTCTGGTTTATCAGCAGAGAATGGAGAACTTAATATCGAAGTACATATAGAAATAACGAAAAACTTGATTAATAATTTAAAGATTTAGTATTGACGAATTAGTAAATTGACTGATTGTAGAATTAAAACTGGAACTGGAACTGGAACTGTCTTGACTAAGATGTTTTATTACTTAAGTTTCGCGACGTATTTGGCAAAAGAATAAAATGTTAAAGTAATATTATGAATACGGAGTGTTACAATTTATAATAGTTGTGGGTAGGTCTGTACATTACAGAATAAAATTTAGTTACCAGACCTAGGGGGATTTCCCTAGATCTAGAGCATTTTTATTTAATTTATAACATAAGTAATTTCATTTTTGTAGCAAATTAATTCTTGGTGTTACTTGTGTTTCTTTAAATACTTGTGAAAGAAAAAAAGTACTATATGTCTGTACATATTGGACAAAAATAGGAAAATTATGAAAGCGTCTTGGTTTCCGTCAATTACAACGTAACTGTATATACTGTATAAATAACCTGACATAACGGAGATTATATTGTTCCACATCTGTTAAGTAACAATAGGTAAATCAACATTTGCTTTGAACAGTAGGGAAGTGGGCCAATGAATATTTGGGTCTGTTAAACATCTCAGCCAGTCGTCGAATTCCGTTCGATGATCTTCATTTCCAGTTGCAGATGCAATAATAATAAATTTATTCGTGTTAAGTACTATTAACGCAAGCTTGCAGAAATATCTACTTTATTTAGAGATAAACATAAACTGTAGGCAGTCGTGTATCCTTTCTGGTACAAAATACAGTTTAAATATCCACATTAACTATTTTTGAAAATTATTCGTTGTTTATTTCAAAATGCAGTTAATTAAAAGATAAATTGTGTGATTTATAGGCATGACAGCAAATAAATAATTAAAAAAAATTAAACTGTAACTAATTCTTTGTTAGTTTTATGTAATTGAATTTTATCTCTTTATATATAAAAATACGCACTCTTACGATCACATTTACACGTGCGTGCAATATTTTTCTTAATATGCCATAAATGATAAAAAAGTCTCGTAAAGCAAAACTTTATGAAGTCATAAAATGGAACCTCCAGTATGTAATAAAATACTGTACTAATTTGTCATTACTAGGTACTAAATTTTAATATCTCCCCAGAGAGTAAAATTATATTTTACATTGTAACACCTTGAAATGAATTACATAAATACGTAAGCATTACAATTGTTTCACAATCTTCATTCAAATTATTATAGACCAGGCTTTGTTAGTCAATTCTTTGCTAAAATCGAATACTTTAATGCTTACGCCCTTTTCGGAGTCTACACAACCCTCTCGCTTGTGCTAAATTAAATTTACACCATTCTTCTCGCCCGGGTATTTTCCGTTAGTGTCCGACCGAAAGTTCGGTTTCGGTTTCGGCGGCAAACCTGCCGAAAGTACAACCGAAACTGCGTTTATTACTTAAATATTAAGTTCCTATACCTATTGTGATATTAGGTAACAATAACAAAAGTAATTTTATGTTTAATATTATATAAAAAAGCATGAATAATCTTCAAAAGAAAAATGAGCCTAGTCTACTATACTTACTCAAATAAACATCTCACCTATTTTAAGTTTTTTTAAGGCGCAATTAAAGTATTTCCTTAAATGCAGAGCTGTGATTTAAAAATAAAAAAATAAAACCGACTGATTATAATAACGTTTTCTTTATTTTTCTCTCAAAACATTATCCTTATAAGGAAGTTTCGGTTTCGGCCGAAACTGAGACCGTTGCCGAAATTCGGTTTCGGTTTCGGTCGTAAAAACCAGTTTCGGTTGGACACTATTTTCCGTTTGTTACGCCATTCTTTTCGACCGCATAGTCTTGTCGTTTACGCGACATCTATCTTCCGAATGAAGTATTATTTAAATACATTTTATTTGATTTCTATGAAATTCTTAGGGCCATTAAACAAAACCACATCTAATAATATTAGCAGTATCTACCTACGGAAGTCTTTTGTGATTATGAATTGTAATTTAATTTTAAGGCATTCTGAAGCCATTATACAAACTATATTACTATTTTCTTTCCGTATATTAGGTACCTTTATGTACATGTAAAATGTTCATTTATAGGAAACAGTGCTTAAGTTAAAAAAAGTCGCCCATAAAAAATAAGTACCCAGTGATCGGATGGAATGTACTTTCTGTACATGGAATATTAATGGAGAGCAGTTTTGCAAGACAGCCTTTAAAGACGATAATGTAATTTTATTTATGGCAATTGTAGAAGTGTTACAAATATATAAAGCAGGACGATATCTCTAACTAAAAAAATTTATTAGCAAAACCGCATTCCTTGTTTTATCTAATTTTAAATTCAGCGTTCTGGAGGAAATAATAAGCATGACTGCGGCAATAAGTAACAATCTCATTCGGTATCGGACTGTGGATTTCTGCACTTCATTAAGAGATACAGAAATTTATAAATAAATAACAGTTATAACAGCTTCTGTATAGAGATCATAGAAAAATTTAAATTTAATGCTAAATTTAATAAATTCTTAGACTCATACATTCTTTCTCTTCCATCTTTAGAAGAGAAAGAATATCAATAAATCAACACAAGTAAACATGATCACACAATTCGGTAAAATCGCGATCGAAGTTTTTCGTATCTTATTAAACGTGACTTTTTTACCTGTTTGTCATGTTTGTCGTTCACTCGAAATATTATTTATCCATCCTTAAAAATTTAATAATCAAATATTAGTTTTGTCGTGGTTCTGTTGTCCCAATAGTCGAGATTCGTTACAGGTTTTTGGTTGTATATTTAGGGCAACAGTCTCCCCAGTTCTCTATCGAAAATAGTCGGAGAGGGTACCTAAATTCTGCGATTTCCGATATATAACCGGTACCAATATAATTATCACTTCATTTAAACGCCTAAATTTAAGACTAGATACAATAATGGAAAGTGAAACCCATTACAATTACTTAGCTAGTGGTTTTCACTTTTTATGTTTGGTTTCCTTTTCGGGGTAAAGGAAAGGGGTAAATTGGTACGAAACCAAAAGAAAAATAATGTAACAAAAACGTTTATGTTTCTAAAATTACAAATTTAATGAAAATAAAATTATATATAACAAAAGAAGAAAACTAAAACGAATATTACAACTTCAAGTTATTAAACTGATACAAATTCGTCAAACTACTTTGACCTTTACAGGAAATAAAAATAAATNTATAACTTTCCATATTTGTCCCCCTTTCGAATGTTCGAAATTAATTTGGTATCAATTTAGGACATAGGTATATTATGCCAGTTAAAAATTACCACCAAATCAACACAATTACAAGTAAAAATAGTAATAAAATAAAATGTGAGAGAAGGCTTTCGCGGCCAGTATGTTCTTCTGATTCAGGTCTAAAGGCTCTCGTCGGTTGGAGTTGTTTCCTAACGTTTCGTTAGCATGAGTGACGAGCTTCTTCTGTGGAGATGGAAGGACCTTTGAAGAAGATCGCCACCAGCGAAACGTTAGGAAATAACTCCAACCGACGACGGTCCTTAGACCCGAATCAAAACAGTATCAGAGCAAAATAAAATGTAAATGGAGACTACAGAAAAACTGTATACAGGATGGTGCATTTAAATATTTCTACCTGGAAACCCCTAAAACAGGTCGATTTTGTCTTCAAGTAAATTTATGAATGTAAAAGTTAATCATTCTTTGTGGTGTGATAGTCATTTTTATGAATATGCGAGGATAGATTAAGTCTTCAAGCAATTTAAGTAAGATTCTCCCGTCAAATTATTCGCTAGAAAAAATGGAACAAAATCCCAGCCCCTATGCATTCAACTTTTTAAAGACATTGAATAGTGTTCTCTCATAATTCTAGAATTCAAATTACTCCAGTATCTGAAATTATATTTGGGGGACTGTTATCAAAGAATGTACATACTTCAGACTAACAAGTCGAATATAAAAAATTGGGATTGTTCACAGTTTTTTATTTATCTCCTTTTAAAATTGCATACGACGATTTGGATCACCTTCATTATGCTCTTGCAGGAGATCAATCTTATACGAATGCAATCGATGTTTTTTACGATTCTTTGAAGACTTCTACGTAAATTTTTTGATGTAAGATCCAGTTCTATATGCCCCAAAACTGTAACCTCTGCATACTCGTTAGTGACAATGTGTCGTCTTTTATCTTTTTTGTTAACAACAGATCTAGTCTCCATGAAATTAGATTTTAAATCTCTTAAGTAGACGTGGCTGAGGTTCTTATTGGATGACTTTGATTAAAACTTTTTTCAGTTTCCTGGGTTATTTCATTGTTTTAAAATAGAGAGTGACAATTTTAATTCATTCTGCAATGCAGTGAACCACGGTGATTTGGACAAATTACTTCAAAATTAGTCAACTATAATAAGTAATTTTTCAAATGGAAAATTTAAAATGAGCCACCCTGTATAGATACTTACACGGTACCAATTGCATGCATGGGATTTACCTACTACGATATTTTTGAAGGCGTTTGTATGACTGTTGTTTCGAACGGTTTACGAAATATAATTATAGTTAGAAATGATAAACGCATGACTTATTGTACTCGCTGAAGATTGATGACTAAAATTGGACAGATCATGAATCAAAAGCTCAGTCCACTTGGATTTTAAAATTAATAAAACACAAACGTTTTAGTTGTATTTATTGTATTAGTAATTAAATTTTTCTTTTTTAATTTTACCCACTACATATAACGTCACATTAATGAAGAAAAAAGAGTACTGGTGAGTAAAACCAGGGGCCCCGGGGTTTTCCTCATTAATTTGAGGTTATTTGTAGACGGTAAAATTAATCCAAAAAAAATAATTCATATTAAACTAACTCACTTCTAAAAAGATATCTAAATTGTATGTATGTTTAATCATATTTATTGTGCTATAAAGAATGAAAATTCAAAATATTTGCCTGGCATATTTATGATAAAGATAAAAAGTTGTCATAATTTGAAAGTAAAAGTGACTCAATTGTTTCTAATCCGACTTGTATAGAAAGAAAGAGTTCTAATATCTTTTCATTCACAGAACGATATAAAGACAAATCAAAGTTGTTAATCTCGTTATAAAAATGAAATGAATGATATTCGCCGCTCACCTGTCATTTTGATATAATTCCACGCACGAGTTAAGCTCGGCCAGTTCTTCTTTAAGAAGTTGAAGATTAGAATTTACAAAACTCAGTTCTAAGGCCACAGTTTCTTTAAGTTTTTTGTTTGTTGTCGCTTTAAATAGGTTTTCCGCTCCAGCACGTAAGCGTAGTTCTTTATTAATTTCTTGGTTTAGTTTCGACCTTTTATTCTGGAGCTTTCCTCTGCACGTAGCTATGCGGGGATCCGAACCCTGAAAACAACAAAATAAGCTAACTTTGATTTGAAAAAAAAATTACTCTATAAACAGAGCAGTTAGGACATGGACGGTGTCTTATTGCCTTATAGTATTAAATATTATAATAAAACATCTAATTATTGTAGTATGCAGACGTGACTTCGAATAAGTTAGTTCTTAATGTTTAAATTTTAAGTTGTTGTAGTTATAAGAATTATTTACTTATATTTAAGAAAATATACATGTAGCAGCCAGGTCCTCGGACGCAACCCTGTCATAAAGTTTATTACCGTTGCTTAAAGAAAAAGACCTCTGGGACGGTCAAGAAGTACCGATTACTGTACAATTTTAAAAAGGACGGAATCGGGAGTCTAAGAACAACCCTCGAAAAGGTTAGACGTCGTGAGGGCTTGGCTCATTCATGTAAAACTTCCATGTTCTGTTAACTTAATCTTATTCATCTTATAACTTGTTTCTTTTAATAAATCGTTATATTTACACGTCCCTGTTAACGTTACTGTTATATCCCTACATAATTTTGGGGGCTCGTCCGGGATACAGTGAAATCGTTAACTGTGACTTGCGAAATTAATAACAACGTCGATAACTGACAATTTTCGTATCTGTGCGTGGTGTTGAGAAAAATTAAAGACATTCAAACAACGAAAGTAGTGATCCGACGGATCTTCAGTTGTGTAAAAGTTGTTGTGAATTGAAAAAGGCTGTTTCAAAAACACCATGGTTGGCCAGCAAGATATTGAAAAGATGAAGGTGGAAGAATTACGTGAAAAGTTGGAAGAACTAGGTCTTTCTGTGGATGGGACAAAGGCAATATTGCGTCATCGGTTACGTGAGGCTTTACATGAGGACAATGATACATCCGAAAATGATTCAAGTGAAGATGATGAAGATACCGTCAACCAACAAAATAAAAGAAGGTCACGCGATAAAGTTCTATTGACTTTTCGCGATGTAGAAGAGTCGCTGGAAAAATTTAGCGGTGATAAAAAATTAAATGTTGAGAGATGGCTTGAAGATTTCGAAGAGATGGCAAACTTATGTGAGTGGNATGTGAGCAACTTTCATTCATCATTTTATATAATTTTTGATCGGTGATACTAGCAAAACTTTTAACGGCAAAAATGTATTTTGCATTTTGCAAATAGAAAATACGTTTGGAAAAGTATTTTAAATAAAATACAAAATGCTATTCTCAAAAGAGTATTTAAGTATAAGATAAAAATAGGTATTTTTATTTTGCATTTCCATTTTAAATGCAAGCATTTCAAATAAATCACATCTCTGGATAAAAAGTAACTATTTACATGCTCACACATCTGATGAAAGATAAAAAAAAAGTTGTTAAATTATCAGTGTTTTATGGGTGCGAAAACGTGAAGCCCAGATGAAAAAATATTTTTTGACTAAAATTTTGCTATCCTTAAAATTTTCTACTGCTCTACTGCTATCGAGTAGTCAGTATCTAAATGTATGGTCGTGTTCTCATGGGAATGTTTGATAAATAAATAATCAACAGCTGGTTTTACTATTATGTATAATAAAACAAAATATGGCAACATAAACGTGTCATTAGCTCCATATTGGAAATGGTAGATATTTATGGTTAGGTACTTAGAATATGTAAAAATAATAAAATAGCAGTCGTTCCAATTAGTAAAGATGTAACGTTAAAGTTTCCCACGTTTGCAAAACATTTGAATAATTAGCAATAATCGCGAATGGAATAAGATACGCGCTTAAGTGTTATCTGGAATTTCAGTTTAAGTACTTACCTAATAAGTAACAGATTTAAAATAGCATTGCTTTTTTCTGAGAAATCAGTACTGATTAATAAATTTTACAAATACCTACTCTGAGTAAGGTTGCCTCCGAAAATGGGAAATGTAATGCATAATCTAATTAAAAATAACCATAATCAGAAATAAAGGTAATTCAAAGTAATGAAATAAAATTCTTGTACGATTGCGTTTATATGATAAGAATATACAATGTTGAGCAGTTTAGATATCATTTCAAGGAATAAAATTGAATAAGAGAGTTGGAGTAAAAATTCAATTTTTTTTATTTTTAATTAACCTCTATACGCGCCTAGAAAGGAAAAAACGTGAATTTAGAATTATTGCAATAGTTTCGGGTTTCACAGAAATAATTAATAACAGAGGGTCGGTCTCGTTATCGGGGTTCTAAAATAACTAACCATTTTCCTATTGGGACTTGGCTGCCTTAAAATGTATATCTAAGTTTATCAAAAAAAAGTTATTGAAAAGGCAAAGACCATAATATGGGTGCAAATGGACAGTAGAATTAGTTCAAAGCCTACTAAATTTCGAAAATACTAAAACTTCTACAAAAACTGTCTTCTAAATATTGCGAATAAAAAAGGTTAGGAATGAGGAACTATAAGAAAGAGTAAGCGAGCAAAAGACGCTATGAAAATCAGTAAGAAAAAGGGAAGATAGAATATTAGGGTACATTTTAAGGGTTAGTTAGAGAAATTTAAGAAGCAGGAAAAGGAGTAAAAAGGATTAGATGTAGTTAAAGATTAGATTTCAGTTGATACTTTAACTCAGGATAAAATGATGATGACGATGATGATGATGATGATGATGGAATACTGTAGTCTAAAGTAATAATATGACTAACACACTTTATCTACTTCAGCTGATAATAATAAATTAAACGGTTTTTTATTAATTACAGACCAAGTACTTTTTCCTGTGAAAGTATTGGCTTGCTATTAAAAAGAATTGCACCACATACGAACGTCCTTCTAATTTTAAATAATTTTCACACTCGAATGCTTGAGTAGATTCAGATCGCTTTTTGCCATTCCTTTATTAGCAATATGCTTGTTCGATATCGCGTTCCTTCCTGTAATACAATATCGATGGTATTGCTTTACGCCACAAGAAACCAACTACTTTCTTATTAGGTTTCTGTGTTTTTACTGCAACAGATTATATGGGCTGCGAACTGGAAAAGATACGTGTTACTCACGGTCGCGTATTATTTTACACCACTCGAAATGATAATGAAAACAAAACGTAATGATCACATCATGTCTATATAGGATTTCCTTATATCTTTGTGTTTTTTATATATCACATTTGTACCAGTTGGGGCGGAATTATACACCGGTTGGCCCGGCGTTAAGTTACTCTGCTAAAGATTTCGGTAATTGTCTAGATGATGGCCCCCACCCCCGAAGGGGGATCGAAAGAGAAGGTCTCCCCCACCACTGTACCATAAAAAGTTCGTGGCGGTCTCACCCCCATAAAATGTTACGGGGGTTAGATGGGAGGGGGATCGAAAGAGGGTGGTCACCTCAGTAAAACCCTTATAAAAAATTCGCGTCGGTCTCACCCCCATAAAATGTTATGGAGGTTGAAAGTTGATTATTTTGACAATTTTCATACATTATAATTCACATAAAATTCAATAAAAAAAATATTTTCAAGCGGCTGGAGGTGGCGGATCGAAAGAGGGTGGTCACTTGAACAAAACCCGATGACCTAACCTAACCTAACCTAACCTAACCTACCCTATTGATAAAGATATTTAAATAATGTTTTATATAACTTTCTCAATTTTTTTATGTATTTTTCCATTAGTTTTACCTTTGAGTATTGTTTAAGAATGACTATATAAATATTTACATGCCTAGAAATGTATAAAAATTGGCATATTTATTAACTTTGAACCCC